ATATATATATGAGAGTTAAGATAGATACACAGCTACTTTCTCTTAGTTCACTGAGAGTAAAAATTTGTACTAATATTGTTTAGACAGGCTATCATGTCTGCATCTTTTCCCCTGAGTAACTACTATGAAGACAACAACATGCAATGCATTAATTATTGTAAGCTTCCTACTAACGTGTTTTGAAACTGTTTCATCACTATTCTTTTTTCTCATTAAAATGAATAAAAATTATAATAAAAAATCAAAATAAAATACATTGTGAGGAATAAAAAATTTTAAAAAAGGAATCTATGTTTTGTAGCCGCAGTGCAGTGACATAAACCACTACTTTGAGAGTCTTTGTAGTAAATTAGAAGAGAGATGAACAGGAAGAGGAGAGTGGTTTATTGTGGCGTTAGGTGAGTTAAAGTGGCTTTTGTACAAGCAGCCCCCAGTATGAACCAGGGATTCTGAGTGTCAGTGTGACAGTATCATTGATGGGCACAAAGCTATGCTGTGGTGCTCACGTCCAAAGGGAGGAAGCTGGACATTTGAGGGGGCAGAGGTTTATGGGAACCTTTTATAATTTCTGCTTGATTCCATTATGAACTAGCACTTAGTAGAACATAAAGTTCACTAGTTAAAATACAAGTCAGATGACTTTGCAGGGTAGGGCTGGGATTAGGCAGAGTGCGGACTGGGCAAAGCTCTGTCTGCAAGGTTGGTACTGTGAGTTCCCGCTGTGGTGGAGGGGTTGGATTTGACAAGCAGGCAGCTTAGGTGGCTTCAAAGCCTCTCCCTAGAGGAGAGACTTCCTGCAGAGACAGTGAGATTGTGTTTGTTTGATCTGCATCTTTTTTAACACTGGGGCAGGAAAGTTGGCTGTTTCCTACTGAGTTTCACCAGATCCTGTCCGAGGCAAGGCCTCCAGGCAGCTTGCTCCCTGGATCACACAGGCACCCCTGCACTCACAGCTTATGCTGTGCCTGATTTACACAACTGAAGAGCTGGAGACCCAGGCAGGGCTCGGGGCCAGGAGAACTAGACTGTGGTTCTCCGCCACAGTGGCTAGCAGTGAGTGGGCTCTTGCCCTTTAGGGTTCACCTGTGTTCAGAATTGCTTTCCTGAGTGGCTGCAGAGTCCTAGGGAGGTTGTGACATCTCCTAGGAAACAAGGTTAACCAGATCTCGGAACCCCAGGACCCCCAGAACTGCCTAGTGGGGCTGGAGGTGAAACCCCAGCTGCTGAGCTTGTTTTTTCTTTTCTCTTTCTTTTTCTTTTGTTTCCTCCTCTTCCTCCTCTCCATCCTCTTCCTCCTTCTCCTCCTCTTTCTTCTCCTCCTTTCTTTTTGAGACAGGATCTCACTATGAAGTTCAGGCTGGCCTTGAACTCACTTTGTAGCCCAGGCTGGCCTTGAACTTGCAGTGATCCTCCTGCCTCAGCCTCCTGAGGTGGGAATTACAGGTGTGCACCACCTTGCCTGGCTGCTTTTTCTTGATTGTCCTCTTTACTGGTACTGGCTGTAGGACACTCCGGATAGAACATTGAAAAGATGGTGTTTTCAGATTACCAAATAGCACGGTGACAATGAGTGTCAGAAAATTCCTCCTAGCTGAGCTCCACTGAGACTAGGCTATCTTAATCTCTCTTCCTCCTTGCTCCCCTCTCCTCACTCCTCTGCCTCAGCTTCATGCCAAGTTCCTGCCCCAAACGCTGCACTTCCCAATCCCTTCTAATGTCCTTCCACTTCCTCCATTTCTAAGGGAGAAACTAGAGAGCCAGCCTAAATCTGTGTTTCACACAAGACCCAGTGCAAGGCCAGCTCACCGCACAGACCCAGAGAAGCGCTTGCTGGCTTGGTCACCGCTGACTGAAGCTGGGAGGTGCCCCACGTGGGTAGGGCGGACGGCTCCACGTGACCCGTGCAGAGCTCTCGGCATGCTCTCTCAAGACCAAAAGTGCAGTGAAGTTGTGATTTTGTTTCATTTAAAACCATGTTCAGTTTCTCGGCATACACATGCTTCAGTAATCCGGAAACCAGCCCACTGCGCAGGGTGCGGGTGTCGTGGTGGGGCCAGCGCTGACCTCGGGGGAGGGCTCCTCGGCGCCGGTTGGCTCAGCTGTCTGTCTCGGTCTCTACTATAAGGCGAAGGCGATCTGCGGCTCCTGTGGCACTGGGAACCCTGCTCACCTGAGCTACTGCGTCACCTGCGAGGGGGCCCTGCCTTCGCCACAAGAGGTAGGTGGGCCAAGCGCGCCACGCGTGATTTCATGGCTGCTGATGTTCAGCGTCATCGGAGAACTATGACGTTCAGTGGGGGAGGACCAAAAGGAAAAGAAACTTACAATAAGAGATGGTGTTCTGTGCACGCAGAGGGCTTTAGATATCCATCAGTGCAGACTGGTCTTCCTAGAGTTAAGAACTCTGCCTGCCGGGCCCAGATGCTGTGTGTCCACCTACTGCTGCTTTTTTAAGTTAAGAGCAGCACAGTCACCTGTTTCTGAGGTTTCCTGCCAGCCCACTTTGTTGAAAAAAAGTTTTTCTTGTTACTAGGAATCAAACTCATGTGCTTGCACTTGCCAAGCAAGTGGTGTGCTGCTGAGCTAAATCCCCCACCTCCCCACATTGTTGAAATGAAAGAGCAGATGGGGCAGGCCAGATAGCTCATTGGACTAAAGCACCT